AATATCAAAAAATGTAATCTTATAACGTACAGTAGAAAACTAAACAAACAAAATCTTTGTATTACATTAGGTAATGAAAATGTTCAAAAATGTGAAAATGTAAGAGATTTAGGTGTTATTCTAGATTATAAATTGACATTTGTGGACCATTATAACACAATAATACATAGAGCAGGCAATATGCTTAATTTTATAAAACGTTTCGGTCTCCACTTTAATGATCCTTATACAATTAAATCACTTTACGTTGCTTATGTGAGGTCAATTTTAGAATATTGTAGCGTTGTTTGGTCACCCTATATGAAAAAAGCATGAAGAACGAATAGAGTCAATCCAAAAGCAATTTTTATTATATGCATTACGTAAGTTAGGTTGGACGGCTTTTCCTTTCCCGTCATATGAAGCACGTTGCTTGCTGATCAGCGTTCAAACATTGAAAGAACGTCGGGATTACGCAAAGATTTCTTTATTAAACAATATCATTTCGCAACGCATTGACTCAGCTGATCTATTGTCAAGGTTAAATCTGTATGCACCTTCCCGACAATTACGCAATCTACAGTTGTTCGCAGTAGATCGCCATCGGACCAATTACGCTAAATTTGGACCGGTAAATCAGATGATGACTGTTTATAATCATCATTGTGAAATGATTGACCTAAATATGCCCTCAACAGAATTAAAAAATATATTTCAGAACCCTGCGAAGTCATAGAACATAAGTCTTAATGTTAATATGTAGTCTACGATTTGATTGATTGACGAATAAATAAATAAATAAAAAAGGAATGTTTTGTTCAAAAATCATAATAATTTGACAGCAAAATCACGGGCTCGACGTGTGTACTGCGAATATTTGACGGAGTTTTCATGCGTTGCTATGGATGATGAAACTTATGTCCTGGAGGATTTAAAGCAGCTTCCAGGGCTGGCTTTCTATTCTGCTATGACCAAAAATGCTACAGCTGAGTATTTCAGGACGAAGCAGGCATCGAAATTTCCCAAAATATACCTTACCCTTAGCTAGCAATTTGCATGTGTGGTCGAAAGAGTCAATCTTTCGTCACTACAGGCACAATCAAGAAGGAGATTTTGCAGAAAAATTGCCTGCAGAGATCGTTGCTACCTTTGATCAAAAGCCACAACGAAAACCCTTTGTTCTGGCCCGGTTTTGCATCATGCATTATGTTAAAACTGTGAGGGAGTACTACTAAGCAAATCAAGTGAATATTGTACCAAAAACCGCAAATCCGCCAAATTATCTAGAGTTACGTTCAATCGAGAGATATTGGGCTCTGATGAAGCGGAAGCTTTCTGGAAAGAAACAAAGAATCAACGATATCAAACACTTCCAACAAATTTGGACAAAGACGGCCACCACGGTATTTGAGGAGTCTGAACAAACCCTAATGGATGGAGTTAAGCGCAAAGTTCAAAAATTTTATGCGAATACCGAATTACTATGTTTTGACTTGGTGAATTTTTAAATCATATCCCATGAATTTTAAATAAACAACAACAATTGATATATCAAGCGAAATTTGTGTTTTACTTAAGTTTTGGTGTGTCCAGATTATTGTGGATAATGATGACGCGTAAACCAACATGGGCCTATGGAAACTTCAAAGAGAATTCTCAACTCTGCTGATAGTTGGTTGATATTTAAAAAAATCAACTTTGCAAGTGGCACCTGTGGTCGATGTTACCGATTTGAGCCAAACTTGGCCAAAATGCTTATTTTGGCATTCTGAACAAACGCCTTTTTCGATTTTGCTCTGAAGTTTCTAGATCCCTCTCGGCTACAACCCTGGATTTTCGAATGTTCTAAAAATGTAATCTTTCAGAACAGTAACCAAATGAGCTATTCGTAATCTTAGAACGTCAATTTGAAGGTTTTTTAATTTTAATTTACCCACATTTTGTTTTTGTTACAGTAACTACAGTAATCAGGCTGATTACCGGCAGGTATCCAAATTGTAAAAAGTGGCCTATTTTCACCATGGGCGGGATTTTTTTATTTTTTAATATTTTGAGCGATGGGAACTGATTAAGCGGGGTCGACAAAGGTGCGAGAATCGGTGGCAATCGAACATTTACTTCTTCCCGTTAGGAAAAAAAAACATTAGCTAACATTGATTTCCACCAAAAAAAGCTCAAAACAACCTCTTACTCATCTGGTCAAATCTCAAAAAAACTATTTGTCCAAATTATTTGCCTTTGGAAACACATCAAATAAAGGGCGAACACGAAATTATTGCGACACCGAAAATGTCATGCCAATTTTCTTATAATGTTTAGAATTAAACCAAAATTTTAGGGTAGTTTTATACATATATTTACTTCAAAAATCAAAAGAAAAGTTAATCGATGGAGCCTTGAGTGTAAAATTTAACGCATTTTCGCTTAATGCCCTCCATCAAAGTCTTTACAGTGTCATCCGGTACCAGTTTCTCAGTTTTTTTTTCATTTTCTTAACATGTCCTTCTCGTCTTTGACTGTCTTCTTGCTCTTCCGAAGTTTCCGCTTCATTATTGCCCAGTACTGCTCCACCGGGCGCAGCTCCGGACAGTTAGGCGGATTCATGTCCTTTGGAACAAAATGGACAGAATTGGCCTCATACCACTCCAGGACACTTTTAGAATAGTGGCATGATGCCAAATCTGGCCAAAATAGCGGAGCTTCGTCGTGCTGCTGCAAGAACGGCAAAAGACGCTTCTCGAGGCACTCAGATTTGTAGATCTCGCCATTTACTGTGCCCTTTGTCACGAAAGGCTCACTCCTTAGTCCGCAAGAGCAGATGGCCTGCCAAATGAGATATTTGGAGGCGAACTTCGACATTTTCTTCTTCTTAAATGTGTCGTCCACATCGAACTTGCTCTTGCCGGTGAAAAACTTCAACCCCGGAATTTGCTTAAAATCGGCTTTTATATACGTTTCGTCGTCCATCACACAGCAGCCATATTTTGTCAGCATCTTCTCGTAGAGCTTCCGTGCCCGAGTTTTAGCCGTCGATTGTTGCCGCTCATCGCGGTTTGGGAAGTTCTGTACCTTGTATGTATGTAGTCCAGCTCTCTTCTTTGCATTCTGGACGTAGCTCTGCGACATGCCGATCTTTTTAGCCAAATCTCGGCTTGAGACGTTGGGATTTGCTTTAATCATCCGCTTCACCTTTCCCTCCGTCTTTTTGTTCTCCGGTCCCGGTTTTCTTCCAGCTCCTTTGCCGTGGTCCAACGTCAACCGCTTCAACACTCTGGAGACGGTTGAATGGTGAATGTTCAACATTTTTCCCAACTGCCGGTGCGACAGGTCAGGAAATTCCAGGTGTTTGGAAAGAATTTGTTCTCTCAACTCGCGTTGGTTCACCTCCATTTTCGTTGAATCGAAAAACACGACTTCGAGTTTGACAGCATGTACACAATACACATCAATGAGAAAGTGTGCAAAATTTGGTTGATTTTTACCCAATGGTAAAAAAGTTATGCCCTGTTGAATGTGTCGCAATAATTTCGTGTTCGCCCTTTAGAAGAGTTTTCAAAAGTGTGGTAAAAATTTGAGCCCAAAATATTGAGAAATAAAAAATCCCTGATGAATGTGGGCGTCTTAGTGGAATACCTGTATAATGAGAGAGAGAAGGATTAGTATTTTCCATTTAATTCCACTACTTTATTTGCTTATCCTTGACTGATACGCGTATTTCGTCTACAATGTGCAGACTTCTTCAGTGTCTTGTACTAATACTCGACTATGGTGAAAATAGGCTATTTTTAACAATTTGAATACCTGCTGGTATTCAGTCAGAATACTGCAGTTACTATAACAAAAATAAAATGTGGGTACACCCATAAGAATTTAAATTTAAAAACCTTCAAATTGGAGATCTAAGATCACATTTAGCTTATTTGGTTGTGGATATCTTCTGAAAGTTGAAATTTTCTCGAAAATCAAGGGTTGTAGCCCAAAAGGATCAAGGCACTTTAGAGTAAATGACGTTTGTTCAGAATGCCAAAATAAACGTTTTGGTTAAGTTTGGCTTAAATCGGTGACATCGACCACAACTTTTTTAAATTCTGTACCCACTTGAGCTGGAATGACCCATATTCAATTTACCAGAATAATCAGGAAACCGAGATGAAATTGTAGCAATTTCCTTCCTAGGGTGCAACTTTTCTGGAGGAAACTCCTGCTCAGGCTCGTCGAAACAGTTAAAATCCAATAACGGACACGAGAGCATACTTTTCAGGATTAAAATTTCACTCTCCGATTCCGTCGCCAGATAAATTGCCAAATCTCCAATGTTAAATTCCAGTCAAAATACCCCTATATCCGATCAGCAGTTTACCCATCACCCCCCTCCCCTTAAAACAGCTGCCCACCAGTTCGTCCTAAGCAAACGTCAATTCAATTAAATGAGGCGTGATGTCGATTTCCGGATACGGACGTATCCTTCCCCCATCCGACCTACATTCGCCGCCTGTAGACTGGCATCATGCAGACAGAAGAAAGGGACCTTCAACCGTTCCGGCTGAGTTCATGCCCGAGGAAATCTGTCCCCGGTGACACAGGCACTTCAAAGGCCGCCGCCCCAGTCGGGTATATGATTTATTTCTGGTGTCCTTTTTCCCATCACGGCTCCCCTTCTACTTGATCCGTTTCGTCCTTCCTTCGTCGGACAATTTGGCACATGAATCAATTTCCTAAGGGAGAGGGCGGGAGAAGGCGTAGGGACTCGAATTCGATCGGCTTTTGGGGATGTGTCTGCTCACTTGTAACTAATTTCGCAAATTGAGTTAAGTTCTATTGATTGCGCTGGGGGGAACCGATTGGTGCTAAATGAGAGGCATCTTATCATCTTCCGATCTCGAAAAGGGGCGGGCTTCCTGCTGACGAAAGTGTCGCTTTGATTTATTGGACCGGATATCGGACTGTGATTGTTGGTTGTGTTTGGTGACTCTGGTCAGAGAGAGAGAGAGATAGAGAGGGGGGATGAAAGTGATACTTACCGGAAATTATCATATCACCCCGTTCCGTCGTCCAGTAATTGATGGAGGCCGGGTACGCTTCCGTGTGGCACTCGAGGATTACGTCCTGACCGAGGTAGGCACCTTCCAGCTGACTCGGGATGGACAGCATCGGGGGAACTGTAGGGGGGGAAAAGATGAAAGGTGAGTATTACTGACGAATTTTCCAAATTCCAGGATATCGAAGGATGCTGAGGGCAAAGAAGGATATCGAGTAACGATGGATTACATTTAAGGAAGTTATCGAAATTGGGAATATTCCGTAATACATCGAATACCAGACGGTTCGTTAAGCCGTTCGTTAATTTTTTTTAATTAAATTGGTGTATCTTCTAATTAATGTGTATCATGATTCAGAACGATACTAACCATGAATATAAAGACTATTGTATTTCAATGGAATTCAGTTGAATGCATCTGTATGGAGATGTATTCTAATTGAATTTTAAAGAATTTAAAAGGAATTTGAAAATTCTTAGTATTTTTTTTTTTTTTCAAGTGCCTTGGAATTCAGAGTTTGTGAAGCATTTTGTATTACTTGATAATTCAGAACTGCCTTAAAATTTCAGAAGATTCGGTAATTCTATTCAATTAAATTGCGTCAAGGCAACTACATTAAGTGTATGTACACACCAAAAAATTCTGAATTTTACTGGCGATGTAAACAACCATGCATACAGACATTCATGCATGTAAACTTCCTTTTCACGTAAACAAGCAGCTTGCAAGAAATATTGCAAACAAAAGTGGACAGTTGCATACAATATATGGAATATTGCATGACATGTCTCATAAATTTACACGATCTATAATCTAAACTTGTATGATATATGACGCTCCATTTATGTGCATCATAGTAACGGAAATTTGCGCTAGTTTTTTTAGCTGTGTCATGGAGCGCTAATTCTTTACAAAATAGCTAAATCACCAAGACATGGGTCTTCCGTATAGAGAATGTTCAAACATGTCCATAAAATATAGATTCATCATTCAAGATTCCATCAGATTCAATAAGCTGGAAAAGTTTTTTATACTTCGTGAACAACCTACAGTCTTGAACGAAAATGTGAATTTTTAAAAGGTTGGAGATCCTCAGAACTTCATCAACCTAAATTCTTGGAAAAATATCCAAAGATATTTACTAATATCTTCGTCTATTTGGAGATCTTTTGAATATTTCCTGTTGTCTTTGAAGAATATCCTGTAACTTATGCAACGTTTCCTGAACATCTACAAAACTCCCTTAAGTTTTACAAAATATTCTGCAATATTCCAAATTCCATATTTGTTCCATCTCTCTTAATTCTACAGAGATCTCTGAACATCTTTGCACGTTTAGAAGGCCACAAGCCAGTTCCTTGAAATTTAACGGAGTTCCCAAAACCTGCAAGAAGTTCATGCAGCTTTTTTGAGATAAGATCTCTGACAAACTGTAACGAAGATTCCTAAACTGAAACGAGGATCTATGAAGCTCTCAGAAGTTCAGTGAACTATTTTTAGATCTTCTACAAAATTCCGTGAACTTGTTTGAAGTTTCAAGCAGCTCCTCAAAATGCTACAAAATTCGCAAAACTTCTACAAAGTTTTCTGCATTTCTACGTTTCTCGTTGATTTTCTGCAAAGTTCCACGAACGAAATTTCTTGAATTTGTACGTAATTGGGTTGTATAGGGGTATTGAGGCAAATACATATTCGTTATCTGCATTAACAATGGAACCGAAACCAAAATTTTATCAATTTAAGACTGGAACTGTTTTAAATAAGTACGATTACATTAGTAAAAATTACCACCTTAGCGCCCCTTGGTGGGGCTTTGTATGGGAGCGAGCACAAAGAGCAAAAAAGGTTATCTTCCATTTAATTCCACTTAATTAATGTTGGTATCCATGAAAGATACGAATTTCGACTACAATGTGCATCAGTGTCATTTCCACTAAAGAATTTTTCAAAATCTACAACATTAAATCTACATTCAACACATTGTAGTTTCATTTTTATACCTGTGATCTTGACTTTTTAACCTATGGGATGATTACTTAAGGGGGTTAAATTTTTTTGAAGTTCTTTAGTGGGAATGACACTGATGAAGACTGCACATTGTAGTCGAAATACGTATCTGTCATGGATACTTAAATTAATTAAGAGGAATTAAATGGACGATAACCTTTTTTGCTGTTTAATTTAAGCATTCCGCTAACAACCCAATTTCATTACTTTATTAGACTTTAGCAGATGATGTACAAAAATCGGTGTGTTATTTTTCGAAGTTAAACAACTATTTGAAGTCCATGAGGCTTAAAAACAGTGCCCTGAAATTAAATATAGGTTGCCGATCAATAATAAGCTTCCTTGAAATAAAATAATGTTCCCATGACTTCTGAATAAATTTTCCACTTCTACGCTATTTTCAGACTTTTTCCAAGTTCCTTGTTTCTACGAATTTATCTGAAGATCTATGAAGCTCCCTGAATTTCTATTAAGTTGACTCAATTGCTAAGATGTTTCCTGAACTTTTTAGAAGTCCTTGAACTTTAACGAAGTTCTGAGAAGTTAAACAAAAATCCTTGGGCTTATGGCTAATTTGCAGAGCCTGAAGATGTTTTATTATGCCATCGATAAAATATCGATATAATATAATTTCTTAAAACTGTTTCTTATAATCCAGTACATAAGAAAAATAGTTAACATAAAGGATTTTTTTATAATTATTTTTTACAATTTTATTAATCGAACTTGAAAAGCTTGAAAAAATACCAGTGAGTCAAAAAAAAACACCAGAGGGGCCTGTTGCACAGTGGCTAAGTAGCCAATGTGGTATGTAAAGAGGGATGGCAAAAAAACCTGGCTTTTCCTTGTATTGGTTTGGTTCCCCTTTATGCTTATAGTACGTTCAGACTATATGTGTTAATTTGTTTATTTGTATATTGAAAAATTCAACTGACAATTATTGTGTAAATGAATAAAACTTAAACTAAATAGTTACGGTCAGCGGTACGGAAAAGGCCAACTAACCGATGACGAAACACTTCAGCTGATACATTGAAGTCGAACATATTAACAGAAGTTGTTGAATTGCCGGCTGCTTGCTCGAATTGGCTCGTGTTGTGTATTATTTCAGCGCCGTGGTTTCAAAAAACAGAAAGTCGCGTTGACGAAGAGGCCTCTCAGGGACATACATATTTAGCTGAGCCAGCAGTGTTGGACAGTCAATGTCACCCGTAAGCAGCTTTCCAGCGAACATAGCTTGAGCGACCGTCCGTCTCACCTCTAATGGTTCGATTCCCAGGAGACGACAACGCTCCTCGTACGGTGGCAAGTTTGTTGGGTCACGCCAGTTGAGGAAACGAAGAGCATACCAACTTGCGTTGAACGGATTCAATTCTAGTGAAAGGGCACCAAACAACTAAACTTGACTCCAATAAAGATCGCAGTAGAGTGACCTGAGGCATAGCGGGGCACGGAACTCGTCGGAAATTTTGAAAATAAAGCCCAATTGTCGATTAGCTCTGGAGATGATGTCATTGTAGTGGATTCTGAAAGTGAGTCTGCAGTCCAAGGTAACGCCGGGATCCTTTATGTGCTCTACACGAGCAAGAAAGCCTCCGTAGAGAACATAGCCAAACATGATTGGTTCATTTTTCGGTGCTAGGAAATAATGTTACATTTTTCGATGCTTAGACTCATAAAATTTCTTGAGGACCAGTCAGCAAAAATACCTAATATATTCTGGAGATCACGAAAGTCCGAGAGACTTTAAATAATTTTGTAGATTTTCGTATCGTCTGCATAGAAAAAGCGGCATCCTGATGGTATCAGCAAGGCGACGTCGTTTAAAAAGATCGAAAACAGTAGCGGCCCTAGGTTACTGCCTTGCGGAACTCCCGAGTTGTTTGAGAAAACATCCGATTCCGACGCGCTAATCTTAACCCGTACATAGCGATTCACCAAGTAAGATCTGAACCAATCCACAGCGGTTGACGAGACGCCAAGTATCTCCAGCTTGGCAAGCAAGATATTATGGTCCACCGTGTCAAATGCAGCTTTTAGATCCATATACGCAGCATCGACTTGCCATCCTGAATCCATACATCGCAAACAGTTAGACGTAAACTGCACCAGGTTCGTGGACACGGAGCGCTTCGGGTAAAAGCCGTGTTGTTCTGTATCGATATATTTTTTGCAACACGCGAACAGAGCACCATTTATGATAATCTCGAACAGTTTTGAGCATGCAGACAGGGAGGTGATTCCACGATAATTTGCGACATTCCGTTTACCTCCTTTTTTGTAGACTGGGAACAGATAAGAATGTTTCCAGCGGCAGGGGAACTCACATTGCTGTGCCGAAAGATTGAATAGCCTCGCAAGTGGAAGACAGAGATTGGCTACACAACGTTTTAAAACTGATGACGGAATGCCGCACGCTATGTCTGAGGGCACTTTTTTTTTGCAACATTCATGTACCTCATATTTTTCTTCACAAGATGTTAGCATTGATCCTAACAATCAAATCTGTGATGGTTTTAAAATATTTTATCTTGGGGTTTTAGAGAATAAGTGTTTTGAAATATACTTAGTCGTTTACAAAGGCGTATATGAACTATTGATGATACAAAACTGTTACGGGTCGAAATAAATTCAACTGAAAATGATTCAAAATGGGACCAAAGTTGCCAAAATACTGGTAAAGTAAGATTCCCTTTTTGGTACCGTAAGATATCGTAGCTTTGTCATGATCTCATAATGTTTAAATTAATAAAATAATTAAACAATTTTGTAGTCTCTTAATTTATTACAGTTTTCATGGTTTTTTAGATAGAGGATTCAATATGTTTTCATATTTTCCCTTGAAATATTAGGCTTTCTTTCACAACATATCCAAAAATCAGCGATGTGTTGTTTTTTGATAGCTGATGATCAAAATTTCATCCTTGAAAAACTGCACGTTTATCAGGCAATGGCATTTATCAAGCACCTACAATGGCGACCAGCGAATACAAATTGCGTATGCTGAATCGGCAGCCACCCAATTGCGTTGTCTTTCCTCAAAGCTGATTTGAGGCAAGGCTGTTTGACAGCCGGTATATCTCATAAGTTTAGCCATTTTTTAGCGTCTGTAA